TTATTTTACAAATGTATTTTTTAATCCATTTTCAAATGATTTAAAATTTCTTAAATATGAATTAAAATAAATACAAATACAGGTGCATCTCAATAAATTAGAATGTCGTGCAAAAGTTAATTTATTTCAGTAATTCAACTCAAATTGTGAAACTCGTGTATTAAATAAATTCAATGCACACAGACTGAAGTCAAAAAAACAATATCGTTCGACCACTACTCCCAGGTACCTTTATATTCACGCTGCTTAAGTACAAGTCTTATGATCTATATTACTTGAAGGTGAAGTGTGCAGTTTTTCAATGCTAAAATGCTTTCTTGTGTTCAGAGTTACTGTACGTCAGTCATCGGTACTTTGACTTCCTGAAGAGTATGGTATAATATAATATATGATATATATATATAGTACATGCTGGAATCCATGTTTCCCTCAATGAACCGCAGCTCCCCAGTACCAGCAGCACTCATGCAGCCCCAGACCATGATGCTACCACCACCATGCTTGACTGTAGGCAAGACACAATTTCCTTGGTACTCCTCACCAGGGTGTCTCCAGACATGCTGGACACCATCTGAGCCAAACAAGTTTATCTTAGTCTCATCAGACCACAGGTTCCAGTAATTAATGCTCTTGGACAGGTTGTCTTCAGCAAACTGTTTGCGGGCTTTCTTGTGAACCAGCTTTAGAAGAGGCTTTGGTTTAAGCACTGACAAGCTGACCTCCTGCTTCTGCAACCTCTAAAGCAATGCTGGCAGCACTCATGCGTCTGTTTTTTGAAGCCAGCTTCTGTACCTGACGCACAGCACGAGGACTCAACTTCTTTGATCGACCCTTGCGAGGCCTGTTCCGAGTGGAACTCGTCTTAGAAAACCTCTGTATGACCCTGGCCACTGTACTGCAACTCAGTTGTAACAAGGGTGTTATAGATATTCTTATAGCCTAGGCCATCTTTGTGGAGAGCAACAATTCTAATTCTCAAATCCTCAGAGAGTTCTTTGCCATGAGGTGCCATGTTGAACATCCAGTGGTCAGTATGAGAGAATTGTACTCAAAGCACCAAATTTTAACTGCTCTAATACAAGATACACAAATTTGTATGGTCCTGTCAAGCAGACAAAAACATGAACATGATGAATAGGACATGTGGCTTTGCATGGTTAAACGACATACAGCTGTTATCACTTAGGGTGTACTCACTTTTGTTGCCAGCTATTTTGACAATAATGGCTGTATGTTGAGTTATTTTCAGAGGACAGTAAATCTGTACTGCTATACAAGCAGCACATTGACTACTCTAAAATATATCCAAGTTTAATTTCCATAGTATTGTCCCTTGAGAAGATAGACTAAAATGGTTGCTGAAAAGTGAGGGGTGTACTCACTTTTGTGAGATACTGTATATATATATGACCTGGCCAGTGGTTCATATTTTTACTTTACTTTTTAGTTCATATTTTGTGGCTGGTCCTGCCACAAAAAAATTTAATAGTTGCTGTTATCATTGTTTTTGACCCATGCCATCAGCTTATATGACACCAAATTTTTATATACCAATTAAATCTTACAATTCTCAATTCTAATTTCGATACCACAGCAAAAACTACTAGCCTAACAAATATAAAGTTCAAACATTATTAAAGACAAGACAACAGTCAGTAAATAATAAATGAACAGATTACAAGCAATAGCACAACTGAATATATAGAACAAAGATACAAATTAAATGTTGCTTTATAAGGAAAAACAGCAGACGAGCTGAATGAGACGCAGATTCACTCTCTGACAGCAGGTGGCGCTCATGGAACAGCAGCGATACAGCGTTTCCTTGGTTACTGCTGTAAACAAAGCAGCGCCTATTAACGCTACTTTAAATGCATCATACAAAGACGAGATGAAAAGAAAACGCCATCTAAATATTTCTGAAAATGTTCAGTTCTCCTCAATATTCAGCATTTAGGATTTTCTTCCAATATTTCGCTCATCGTGAACAGTGATCTTGCTCTGTCTGCTACAGGATTTTATCCTCTTTGCATCCGTCTTCAGCGTCTCTGGCCTTTATTAACGGCCGTTTACAGACTTCGTAATATTTCCACACAGATGACATTTTGAAAAAAAGTTTGTGTGCAAATCCGGAACAAGAATGGGTTGAAATAAAACAAAAAATAGCCGGTCGAACGGTGCATCTCTACTCCACTGTATATATGAAATATAGATTAATCATTGTTAAAGCTACAAAGGTACTCACCCAGACGGGGATTTTTACATACTTTTGTATGTATTCGTCCATTCAAGCACGAAAACAGCCGTCGGACAGCCCTTATTGTCGAGCCCTGATATACAATCTAATTAAAAATATTAACAAAAACTATAATAGTAATAATATCAAGTAATAATATATAATATCAATGATACTAAAATAAAACTGCATGAAAATTCATCGATCAAAAGGTGTGGGAAATAGTGTTAATTTTGTCAGCTATTTTTGAATTTAGTCTTAGTTTTAGTCCTGTGTCAAATGTAACTTTTAGTTTTTATCATATTTAGTCAACTTGTCCTGTTTTAGTTTTATTCAAGTTTTAGTCGACTAAATGTCTGAGCATTTTAGTCTAGTTTTAGTCAGTGGAAACATTTTCATCATGTTTTCGTCTTACTGTATAATGGTTAAAATGCTAAAAATGATTATTTTGCTCAATTTTAACTGCAATGATTGCTGTCATTTTGGGAAATTTATTTTTACATTTCCTCAGAAGTTGCTCTTACACCATTACGCGCAAATCAGTAGAATGTCAGGATATCAATTAGAGGCTAAATAAACACCAAAGACTTCAGATATACACTCGCACTGTCTACGTTATGAAAACTGGTGTAACAAAAACCTACTCTCAATTGTTATGACAGAGAAATTGCTCATAGTAATTCAAAATTGCATTAATGTTTCTCTTTTAAAACAACGGCAAAAACAGACTTATTGCCGCACAGAGGTTGTGTAAGTAACGTTACAATCAGCAAACAATACAGTCGAGATCCATGACAGAATGCAGACTGACTGAATGACACTTTCATTTAAGCAGGACACCTCAAACAGAGATCGCTGAACTCCAGCTTACTCGTACAGTACTGTATGTCGGTGTTTTCAGATCTGTATCCATTTACAGAAAAGCTCTGATTGGGGGATTTGAGCTCTTGATATCTGGCAACCGCAAACATGAACACTCGCATAATAGTCTTCTACAGCAGTCTGGCTCCACTTTTTTCAATAAAAATAAAAAGGTTTTGATAAAGTTTTTGCTCTTTTAACTACACTTTAGTCTTGTCATTTTTCGTCAACGATATTGCATGTTCATTTAGTCTCGGTTATCGTTTAATGACCTTATTATCATCTCGTTTTCGTCAGGAGAAAAACTTTGTTGACTGTCATTTTTCGTCATAGGTTTCGTTAATGAAATTAACACTAGTGGGAAACCTGTTACAATTGTCTAATTGAGCACTGCAGCAGAGCTCGTGTTTGAGGCCCATCCTTCTGTTTCCCACAGGCTCTGAAAGCTCCACAGACGACAGTGAGCGAGAAGAAGATGGTGACGCTGATCACGACGAAGGGGATCATCCAGGAGGACGAGCGAGCCTTCGGAAAGCAGGTCTTCCAGAGCGCCCGCATACGCCACAGCACTGGGAGAGCGGGAGCCCGTCTGAAGCCTTCAAAGCTCCCGTGGTTGCGGACGAGGAGCCGAGGGTCCTAGAAACGGGCAAGAGAAAGGGCCAATTTGAGGTGGAGCTCGAAGGTTCTGGTGGCAGAAGAAAAAAAGCAGAAGGTCAAGGCGAGCGCGCTTTAAAAAGCCCAGCGAAAGGCAAAACTAGAAGAAGCAGAGGAGGCGATTGGCTGCCAAGTAGTTCACCCAAAAAGTTGGAGAAACGAGGTCCGGTTGAGGATAGAGGCGCTCAGTCGTGTAGCAGCTCTGAAGACGAAGCAGATCCTCCAACAGAACCACAAACCAAGGAAGAACCAAGAGGAACTCCCAAAACCAAGGGCTCCCCTTCAAAGAAATACAACGGAGTGAAGGAGAAGAATAAAAGCGGGCGTTCGGGATTCTGGGAGATCCCGGAGAAAAGAGCCAAAATATCCACAGGGATCGAAGAAAGGTCACCTGGCTGTCGTACTAAAGGCCAGAAGGATGTGTGGTCCAGTATCCAAGTTCAATGGCCCAAGAAGATCCTAAAGGATCTGTTTTCGGACTCGGACACCGAGGCGGCCAACTCGCCTCCACCCGCCGTAACGGCTCCGGACGAGCCCTGCGTCGAACCCTCCCGGGACGAGGAGATCGCCGAGGACAAGCTGCAGGAGCATCCCAGCAGCGGCACCAACTCGGTCCTCAACACGCCTCCGACTTCGCCGGAGTCGCCCGCCGTGGGCGAAGGACCCGCCGAGGTCCGAGCACCATCGCCGCCCGCCAGTCCTCCAGCCGTCTCTTCACCGGCAGGACCTCTGATGGAGGAGCAGGCGGGGGGGCGCAGCGAGTCTGACAGCAGCACGGTGGAGGTGGAGAGCTTGGGTGGAGAAATCCAGGAGATTCCTGGAGAAAAGGGGGCAGGTTCCCCTTCCAAGGCCTTCGATGGAAACCTGTCCTGCAACAGTAACAGCAACTGTAGCCTGACGCTCAGCAACAGCAGCCAGCAGGAGAGCGAGCAGAAAGCCAAAGGTGCGTATCGTCGTCTACATCATATGCACGTTCAGAGATTGTGTTTTGTTTCAGTCCAATGCTAAGGCAAGGGATTTTGACGTGCACTACCAGTCAAATTTAGATTTGATTTTTCATAAAGTTATACATTTATTCATCAAGGATGCATTAAATTGATCAAAAGTGCCAGTAAAGACATTTATAATGTTACAAAAGATTCTATTTCAAATAAATGCTGTTCTTTTGAACTGTCTACTCATCAAAGAATCCTGAAAAATAAAATGTATCACAGTTTTCACAAAAATATTAGGCAGCACAACTGTTTTCAACATTGATAATAATCAGAAATGTTTGAGCAACACATTTGCATATTAGAATGATTTCTAAAGGATCATGTGACTCTGAAGACTGGAGTAATGATGCTGAAAATTCAGGTTTGATCACAGGAGTAAATTACATATTACAATATATTACAACAGAAAACAGTTATTTGAAATTGTAAAAATATTTCAGAATTTTTACTGTATTATTGATTAAATAAATGCAGCCTTGGTGAGCAGAAGAGACTTTCAAAAACATTTAAAAAGTCTTACAGACCCCAAACTTTTGAGTGGTAGTGTATATATAAAAACAAATTATATTAATTTATTTCTAATTTGTTTGATTTTTATTTATTTTAAAACATATTAAAATGTCCAATTAATTCTTAAATTATTTAAAGGGGTCCTATTATGCTCTTTTACAAAGTCTTGATTTTGTTTTGGGGGTGTACTAGAACAGGCTCTTATACTAGGTTGTTCGAAAAACACATTATTTTTAATATTTTTCACATATTTTACATTATTACAACACCTCTCTCCCCAGTCTGGCATGAACGGCTGGAATAGTTCCTGTATCAAATGAAGCCCCGCCTTCTGAAATACGAAATGTGCTGTGATTGGTTACCGGGGCCAGTGTGTGTTGTGATTGGCAGTAGGGTTGGGCCGATAGACGATGCCATCGTCCATCGCCGATGGCTGACAGACATCAGGATGTTAAGCTGACATCGTGATCCCCGATTTAGTGGCTCCGTATAACGTGTTATTTGTTTCACGCTTCGGGCACGCCTTCTTTGTAAATTCTGACCTGCCATGCAGAAAACATCTTGATTATCTACAATAATGCTTTGTGACAAGCTCAGTATCAAGATATGTCTGTGTGAGTAGACAGTAAGGAAGCTCACTAGATTTTAAAACGAAGTTAGAGGATTGTTTTTGCATTCTACTATGCTGCTTTTCCATTTTCGACTTTTGTGCTCACTTCTTTTACAGCGAAGTTTAACTAAAGACGTCTAACTTTAAAAAAAAACAAAAAAAAACAGGTTTTGAGACCTTGTGGCTTTCCAGAACTTTAGCATGCATCAAGCCCAGACGCTCATGACAAAAATAATTTTGATTTGTCAAAATGTAGTGAAGATATTAGTTAATTAATTGGCCACTTGATGCCCATGTTTACAAGCTGACCTATAGCTGCTGAACACAGTGTCCAAGCTAAACGAAACTTGACACACTTAGACAACAGGACATCCTGAGGATGCACACCAAGTTTGTAAAAATTCCGCCAATAGGGGGCGCTACAATGACAAAATATTTTGCTGTAATTCCTCAACCGTATGATCCATGAAGCTGAAAATTGGTGTGACTCTTCTTTAGTGGACGTCCTAACTTATCCTCTGTTATGACTAGGCTACATTAAAAAACATGGCTGACAGCAGCCAATGAAATTTCAGCAGTTAATAACATAGATTCTGAATGGTCTACCATTATAAAATTGGATATATTTGTACATCGTGGTAAAACAAATGCATGCACCAAATTTTGTGAAAAACAGTCACAAGGTGGCGCTGTAACAAGCAACCCTACATTTCAGCTAATAACCATGCCCTGCGTCTTATTAAATGTAAAAACAGCTTGTTTCACTGATTTTGTGAATATTCTTTGAACCTTGCAAAATCAAAAAATAATAATAATAATCATTCCAAGAAATGCATTTTCTCACTGAGTTCTCATCCGTCTCACAGCCTCATCCAGTCAGAAGCGGCACAAAGAGTCTCAAGGCGGCGGAGCATCAAAGAAACACAAGCGCAGTCATAAAAACCTGAGCTTACATCCCAAGAAGAACCGCAAACCAGGTAACAGAAATCAACATCTGCTTAAAGAGCTCGTGTGGCGCTTTTAATGTTTTCAGAGAAGTCAATGGAGCGTTGATAAGCTTCAGCATGATTACTCAAGAGCTTTATTTCCACAAAAAAACAGTCTTCAGTCTTTCTCTAGTCCTGCCAGATTGCCAGTCTTTATTCCTGCAGGGATGCGAGCGTGTTCAAGTGTCTCTGCACATCCATTTCTTTAGCGTTTTGAGTGTGTATTGCAGCAGTGTGGCATCATCCTGTAAATCAGCTGTGATGAAAAGCTGTAGGAGTTCAGTGACTTCAGTAACTCACTTTAAGTGATGACTTTTGTCTCCAAATTGAGTTATGGTTTGCTCACTTTCTGCTGCCAGTAAAAACAGATATTGTTCAAGGTTTTTTTTACACTTAAAGGTCCCATATTGTCAAAACTGAAATTTCCTGGCTTTTTCCATGATAACTGAGGTCTAGGTGCTATGTAACTACCATATAATGGCGCTTTTCCACTGTGTGATATGACTCGGCTCGGCACGGCTCAGTACGGTACGACACGGCTCGGCTCGGTTTGCGTTTCCACTGCAGTTCAGTACCGCTTTAGAGTGGGCGGGATTATTCACATGTCGTTTATAGTTGCGCCGCCTCTACTGCCGCGACTCCTGAAAAACGTTTTCATTCTGCCTCGCCCCATCAAGCTCTCGCTGGATCCGCTCCTCTGCTATCAACGAGAGGAACGTCTGTATTTCCTGGTCAGCAGAGTTTACACGTCACGTTTTGGTAACGGTACGGTTCACTTGGAACATCAACCGAGGTGGTACTAAAAAAAGTACCAGGTACTGTACACCCAGTGGAAAACCCCAAAAGTGAACCGTACCGAGCCGTACCGTGCCGTACCATGCAGTGGAAAAGCGCCATAAGTTTCAAAACAGTCAGTCCACAGTAAAATGCACACAGCCTGCTTAAAGTTCTAGCTATTTTTCACGAACCG